ATCATAAATAATCGTCTAACAAAAAGAGTTCTTCACAAAACTGACACCACAGCTAAAAATATGCATCTAGCCATCACTTTGGGTCACACTAGAGATAGGTGAAAAGGGGAGGGTTTGTTGAGTTGTATGATTTTATTCTTTTGAACTCCAGAGAACTGGACATTGTTTGAAGAAAATGGTGTAAGTTGTATTTAGACTGAGAATGTTACAGCATTAAAAACGTTACGTTTCTTTATTGCTTTGCCTTTCAGAAGTGTTCCACTTGTAACAATGGTTATGACATTGCTTCAAAATTCCCATAAACTCACAGGTTTATGTAGTGCTCATGTACATCAGTACAACCTCTGTATACAATGGCTCATAACAGCAAAGCCTTTTGCTCCATGTACAATGACTCGCAACAACATGTTTTTCCCCAGGGAAACCTAGGTAAGGTTCACCTCAGTTCAGTCACACCTCTCTTTACCCTACTTCATAATAGAACTAATATTCAAACCATGTCTATGAAGCTGCCTTCTAATTTTGGGCGAATTCAAATCTTGTTACATTTAAGCTCTCAGAACAAGTCTAGATAATTAAAAACTGGCTTCAAAAGGGGAACATTGTTGCTCTGCAGAGAATTAACCAAATATGCTGCCAAAAAAAAACTATTCCATCTTATCAAGAGATAGCAGGGAAGGAAAAGCAAAATTATCTGCTGAGAAATTGCAAGATGGTTTGCCCGCTGACTTCATGTAGAAGACCAGGTTGAAATAACATACTGACTAGGGAAGAGGGTAGCTCAAGAAAGTACATGCAATTCCATGGACAGGATTTTAAGAACATATTAATGACTTTGGATGAAGGAAGTGAATGTCCTATTACCAAATTTGCAGATGACAGAGGGAGATAGTAAGAACTGCTGATGTTGGAATCTGAGATAACACAGTGGGGAGTTGGAGGAACACAGCAGGCCAGGCAGCATCAGAGGAGCAGGAAAGCTGACGTTTCAGGTCTGGACCCTTCTGAAGAAGGGTCCCGATTCGAAACGTCAGCTTTCCTGCTCCTCTGATGCTGCCTGGCCTGCTGTGTTCTTCCAGCTCCACACTGTTATCTATGACAGAGAGGAATGTAGGTATACTAAGTCAGTAGGCAAAAAATTGATACATGGAATATAATGTGGGAAAATACTTTGATGTGAAAGAGTTGAATATTATTTAAATGGAAAAAGACAATAGCACAGAGGAATTTGGGGGTCTTTATACATGAAATATAAAAAGTGAGTATACTAAGTTCAGTGGGTATAGGGACAGCAAATGGATTGTTGATATTTCAGATGGATTGCAGTATTGAGATAGGAAGGTTTTTGTTGCATTGGGAAAACAACCAACATAATTAAAGACACTCCCCACCCCGGTTATAGTCTCTTCCACCCTCTGCCATCGGGCAGAAGATATAAAAGTTTGAAGACACATGCAAAAAGATTCAAGAACAGCTTCTTCCCTGCTGCTATCAGACTTTCGATTGGACCTCTTTAATGTTTATGTTGATCTCTTGTTGCACTCTCTGTGGCTATAACACCCAATCCTGCACTGTTCTGTTACCCTGATGCACTTGTATAGTACAATCTGCCTGTAAAGCACGCATGACAATACTTCTCATATGGAAAACGCAAGGAAGTGGAGTTGAGGATAATCAGATCAGCCACGTTCTCTGAATGACAGAGCAGACTCAGTAGGCCAAATGGCCTACTCCTTCTCCTATGTTTGAGTTTGATTCGATTTATTGTGGTCACATGTACCAAGATACAGTGAAAAGTGTTGTTTTGCATGCTATACAGGCAGATCATGCCATACAAAGTGCATCAGGATAACAGAATAGAGTGCAGAATACAGTGTTACAGCTGCAGAGAGAGAGATCAACACTAACATTTGAAAGGTTCATTCAAAAGTCTGATAACAGCAGGGAAGAAGCCGTTCTTGAAACGGAAGAGGGTGAAAGGAAGTATAAGCGGCGTGGGAGGGATCTTTGATTCTGTTGGTTGCTTTCCCGAGGCAGCAGGAAGTAGAGATGGAATCAATAGATGGAAAGCTGGTTTGCGCAATGGACTGAGCTGTGCTCATGACTCTAGTTTCTTGTCTTATGATACAAGTTTGCTCCTACCTACACAAACTATTCTAATAAAGTGCATGCCTACAACTCTTTCCTGTACAGTTGAAATGACCTGTGTATGTATTTAGATTACACCACTTCAAAATCTGTTCAAGTTTAAAAGCACCACTTCTGGGATCATTTGCACTCACTGTATGTAATTTGAGCTTGATTTAGTAAAGAGAAAGATGGGAAATTGAACTGGGTACCCACATGGGAGGAAAATACTTGCACACATTTGGTGTGCCAAATAAAGTGTTTCTATGTTAATGCAATCTATGAAATGACAGTGCCCCATGTATTTGAAATGTAAGTGAAAACAAAGATCATCTATGGAATGGTAGATGAGGGAAAAGTTTAAAAAAAAAAAAAATCAATAAAAGGCACAAAACTGTTCTACTAAATATATGAGAGTTAGATTCTGTTAACACATTTCTCTGCAGGCATACGTGTGCTTTGAGAAGAAATAGCAGCAACTTGGGCAGGATTTTATTAGCACAGCATAAGTTTGTCCTTGCATTAGTACATATTAATGCCATTGCAAGCAAAAGGAGAATAAGCATTGTGTATAATTGAATGATTTTGAATCACTTTAAAGAACTGCAGCAAATGAAGTGTCAAATTGTTGTAGCTTAATGTCTGCATTGCATTGTTGACTTTTTATCGATTTAAATATGACATTGGTTCTAAATTATCAAAACTACTACGTTTCCTGATTGACTTTAGTTGTTATGAATCTGCTGGGCTGATTTCTGCTGAACTTTAAAGATGCAATTATCCAAAGTATTTTAAAGAGTTTACAACACTGAAGGAAGTAGATCATAGCTATAAGGGGCTCTTGTGGCACAATGGCAGTGAGCTAAGAGGCTGGATTCAAGTCCTACCTGGTCCAGAGGTGTGCGATACTATCTCTGACTAGGTTGATTTAGAAATACCTATATCATATCTATATATGACTGTGTACCACTTTCTGATGTCATCTTTTTCTGTCACAATTTGCAGACCTTGGTATACATGTGGCTATATTTCCTTAAAATCAGAAATGCTGTGGTGGTGCCTGCTACAATAGTCATTGTACTCATCTAGGAGTCTCTCAGCATCTTTCCTTACTCAAAGTTCAAGATATTTTAGTTTAAAACAGCTGCAAGCATGAACCACTTCATTAATCGGAAAAATTTGAAATTGTAATTGCACACTAGACAATCACTGCACAGCTTTCCGACTTCCGGATTTACATTGGACAGGAGATCCTTGTAAAGCATGTTTGGGCCTAGGTTACTACTGAAATAAACTCCTTCAGCAATGTCTTGGGACTGAGATGAATGTCCTCCAACAACCACAATCATTTTTGCGTCAGGTATGCATTCATCTGATGCACAGCTTCCCACTCAGTCCAATTTTGTCAGGAAACCTTGATCTTAGACTTTGTCCAGAGAGTCAGCCTCAACTCAGCTCTAGAATTCAGTACTTCTATTCGTGTGCTTGAACCAAGTCTGAAATGAGGCCTGGAGAGGCCTCTGCAATTCTCCTCTTGGGTCAGATAGAGGCTAGTGCTATAGTTGCACTAGAATAGTGTGGCAGGGATCCAACAAGGCCTGGCACACACATCTTAAATACTAAGCTGGGACGTAGGCAGGACCCATGGGCTTTGTCTGGCATCTGTGATGATAGGGACCTTAGGCCAAAGTGGATCATCCACTTGACACTTCTAATTGAAGGTGGTAAGAGATAATTCGGCTCATCTTTTGCACTGGCACACTGGGCCATCCTGAGGATGTTCATGGAGCTTTTTCCACTGCCTAGTTAATTGCCACACCATCCAATGCTGATGTTACAGCTCTGCAGAGCTATTATCTGATCTGTTGGTTATGGAATTGCTTTGTTCTGCCTATCATATGTGTTTCAGGTGGTTAACACAATTACAGTCCAGGGTAGTAGCTTCATCAGGTTGGCATCCTATTTTTAGGTTTGGATGGTGCTGCATTTGGCATGTTCTCCTACAGTCCTTTTCAAATCAAGGCTCAACCCTAGCTCAATAGTAATTGTGCAATAGATATGCAAGGCCACAATGTTACGGATTGCAATGGAATCCAATTCTGCTGATATCATGTAATATGGTGGCTATGTTACCAGATGACTAGTCCAGAGGCCTAGATTAATGCTACGAAGACATCACTTCAAGTCCCAACCTGACAACTGAGGAACTTAAATTTAAATAATAAATAATTATGGAATGAGAAGCTAGTAACCCTGAAACTACGGATCGTCATACAATCCATCTGGTTTACTAACATCCTCCAGAAAAGGAAATTGCCACCATTACTTGATTTGACTCATATGTAACATGCCATATCCATAGTTGAGCCAAAATGCTTAGCAAATGGCTGGATTGTACTCATGAAAGTGGCTCTTCTTCAAGGTTCATTACATACAGGCAATAAATAGTGGCCTGAATGCCAGTATTCCATGAATTAATTCAAGAATGCTACCTAACCTTTTATCATCTGTGACTCATTTGCAAATTTGCCCCTATTTGAACTGCAGATGCTGAGAATCTGAAATAAAAATGGAAAATGCTAGAAGTGGTCAAGAATCAGGCTCCATCTGTGAATTAATGTTTTAGGGCCACAATGTCACAGTAAACTAACTCTGTTGAACTCTACACTGATACATGGCAGACTAGATAGTATCTCCTGCATTTACCATTTTTATTTCAGATTTGATCAACATGCAACTGTTCTCCTTCAGTTTTATAAACTCTCAAAATAATTTGGCTCTGAAAGCTTGAAGACATTCAGCAAAGATACTGAATCACTGGACTGTAGGAAAGTGAGGGGAGATATCAGTCTTCTAGTCAGTACTACACTCACCTTCAGTCTCCCCACTTGTCTTGATGCCCTTTGTACTAGACTCAGTACCTTTCAGCTTTTCAGCGTCATCTTCCTTTTCTTCCATTCCCTTCTCCTCTTCATCCTCTTCACCCACATTCTTATAGTTTGGTCTTTTCTGCAGTTTCTTTTTGCCCTTGTGTCGACTTATCTCAAGTGATCTCTCTAATGTTTCTACTGGCTTAGTGAAACATCGAACGCTTGCAGACATCTATCAAAAATAAAATCAACATTCTGAATCAGTTTGGAAAACAAAATTAGAAATATCCTTAATTCTCAAATGCCAGGTTTAACATACATCTGTCCACACCAGTCAAGCTTTGGTTTTTGCCCCAACACACCAGAAGACATTTTTCCACATACTTACTGTCATCAATTGGTGTTCTGGTATAACATAGCAATTAAATTTAGAAATGCAAAGTGTATATGTTATATATTATATATAAATAAAATGATTCATGGTATTAGAGGGTGAATGATTAGTAACTTTGTGCAGCATAAATGATTGGACTGAATTAGAGCATGGAAAATTGTCATGTGAATGCATTCAACACTCATTTATTAGAATCATCTAGACTAAATAAGGAATGATGACTCGGTAAAAAATTGCACATTTGAGGAACAATGAACAACAGTGACAAAGTGCTGGAGAGACCCAGCAGGTCTGGCAGCATCTGTGGAGAGAAAGCAGAGCTAATATTGAGGCCTATGACCCTTCTTCAGACCCTTCCCTTTCAAGAAGGGAAGGATCACTGGACTCGAAACTTTAATTCTGCCAAGCTACCAGACTGGATTTTATCGAGCAATTGCTGTTTATGTTTCAGATCACCAGCACCCGCAACTCTTTGCTTTATTTTAATGCAAACAGTTCATGTTTATTCCCTAACTGCCAAATGTTGGAGTTATTTACAGAATGACACATCCTGTAAGGGTCACAAACAATCCATGTTAGTTCTTTCACACAATTAAATCTGCCAATGGCATACTTTATGACTGCATCATTTGAAAAAAAAAGTGCATGCACAGCATTTGGAACAGTACAAAACCGTACAAAGTCGAAGATTGCAAAAATAGGTACAGTAGCAAAGTATTATGAATTAATTATCACAATTAAAGAATACTGTATCCTGTCTTTCATTACTTATTTTAGGAATGACATCATACGACAAAGTTAGATGAAAACTGAAATAACATCCTTGTTACCAGGAATCTTAGCCACTTTTCATTGAAACAAGGAAGTTAGAGGTTTAAGTTTAGCGTTTTGATTAAGTAAATCCAGGAGGAACTATTTCCAGTGATCACTTAGTTTTTAGGTACATTAAAGGGAGGGTGGGCGGGACTGTTAGACAGACAGACAATTGCCGAATTGCAGTGACAATACGAACAAAACCAGTCGTCCCAATTCACCAGTTAGAATTATTTTAAAAAGCTTAAAATAATAAAGTTGCGTAATTATGATCGTTTCATCATACAGATAATTACAATACGTTGCAAAAGATAGTCTCATTAATTTATAGAGTACAAATAAAATGCCGACTGCACTCCGTGCTCTATATTAAAGTCCTTAGTTAAAATTACGTCAGGTTGAATTTATTGAAATTTCAGTTGAATTGCATTTTCACCTCAATTCAATCACACAATTACGTCTTCTGCATTTGTGGCAAGTAGCAGTGGCAATGGAAAGTAGGATTCAAAAGGTTTTTTTAATGAAGTCCAGACAGAGCTTCTTCTCACTTTCAGCACTCATTTATGAATGCCTTTAGAAATTTGCATGAGCTTCGGCAAGGCCCCCATTTTCCTAAAATGAATTGGATATTCAACAATGGGTCTTTCATAACTTTAAAACTCAGCAAATACATGAGTTTTTGATAGGTTATGACACTTGCAAAGATGTACCATGTCAAGTTTTTCATTTGCTCTAAGAATTTTACAAGCTTGGTGATGCAGTTTGAGGTCATTCTGACAAAAAAAGGTATATAAAACATCTGAACAGAAATTGAAATTTCAACTGGTAAGTAAATTAGATTTGCGGTTTCAGTTTTGTGAAGCTAAGTTTTCTTTTTGAAGAAAAGTCAGAAGATTAATTTGGAACAACGAACTAATGTGATTTAAATTGGAATTAATGGGTGAAATGTTGACAAAATTAATTTTTATGATACACAGAAAAACTGAGACCACCAGCAAGTTTGAGTTCAGATCAGGAGAATCAGGTCTTAGCTCAACAGAACTGTTCTGTTCTAACAAAAGGACAGTTTGTTACTTGTGTAGAAATCTTCAGACTGGGGGAGCTTTTTTTTTGTGAAGTCTCCAAGCTTTGAGAGTTTGTGAAGTAGTTTCCTGGCTGTTAGAACTGAAAAGACATTAGACCATTAAAATTGGAGAGTTAGTCAAGAAAGAAAATAAGAGTTAAAATGGAGTGGTATTTCATTTTCTCTGAAAAGAATATTGCAGTGAAAAGATTGAATCTTTCTTTTTGCTGACTATGTTAAGATCTTTCTAAACAATCAGAATGTATCTAACTTTGTTGCTTTTCTTTCTTTTGCGTAAAAAGCTTCTGTGCTTTTGATAAAGAACATTAACGAATAAGAACATTTTGGTTTAATCTTTAAAGTAAAAGTAAGGTCTTCAGTTTGTGTTCAGCTGTCTAGCCTTTTCCTTACAAATAGCTTATTATGTAGAATTTTGAAACTGGCATGTAAAATAAAGGAAAAATTTACAACATTTATGGAGAGTGGGGATTCTACAAGCGTAAAGAGCAGGGATCGTAGAACGCTTAATGAATAACAAACAAAATACAATAAACATGGCAGGTCAGGTGATATGTTGCAGCAGAAGCATGTTGGAGCAGCTGGACACCAAGGTGATCCGTGGTGAAAGCAACTGTAGCAAATGTTTGTAGCTCAAACAACTTCAGATCAGAGTTCAGTAGCTGGTGTTTAAGCTGCAGACATTCCACCACATTCCCCTGGACACTCTGCAAATAGGCAGGTTCAATAAAAGTCTCAGAGTAAACGCTTTTCAGGGAACAATTTAGCATTTAGAGTGAGAGCAAGAAATTTAGATTAACAAAATTGCTTTTATTTAAGATTTGCGAAGTTATTTAAGGAAGAGCAAGAGACAGGCAGGAAGAGAGACAGAAAGAGTAAGAGGGAGGGAAGAATTACATTACATGCAAGTGTTTAGCTCGAAAGAAGCAAAAGAAAGTCTATGAAGTTGGCTGCTGCACAGATGTCAGCCCATGATTTCTGCTGAATTACACTATACCCTACAACAGGTTAACATTACATCTAATTGAGATAAATGGCCCATTGCTGTTAGAATAATGACCATAGCAGAGAATCAAGTGAATGAGAAGTGTCAAATAAACACCAGTACTTCTTGCAAAATCATGAGCTGAACAGAACTGTGCAAAGTGACTAGGATGATGACCCAAAAATGTGGCCCTCCAAGATAAGGTAGAGGCTCTGTGATGGAAAATTTCAACTCTAAAAAGAGAAACGAAGCTATGAATCCAACGCAATAGTCAGAATGAAAATCTGGAGCAAAACTAATAGACTTCAAGCAAAATCCACTCATCTCAGCTGAACCAAATTTAAAGCTTGGACTTGTAATCCTACATGAGCCTGAATAGATTACAGTATTTTACCGGCCACTTAAGCTAATGATTTCTGACCAGACCTTTTATAGATCTTCCTGAGCAGTAAATGCTGGCTTAACCAGTGATGCCCACATCCTGTGAATGAACAACAGAAAAAAAAAATTCAGGTTGATGAAATTGTGAGAGCAACTCAGCATGTGCCGAGAAGAGTTCCAGCTGCCTTCAAGTCCATTCCAAATGAAAAGATAGAGGAACCAGCAGCCCCACTGCACCAACCCAGGAGCTTATGAAAAAAGGATGGAATGATAAGGAGGCCAAATAAATTATTCTGAGCAGCAAGCACTGGGTGAGCAATTGAAAGCAAACAAACAATTACAGAACCAAAGAAGAAGCTGGATTTAAAAATGAACCAAGAAGAAAAAGATGCAACTAAAACTGCCTGAAGTCAAGTACATAAGTCATGTAAAAATAAGATATGTAAGAATAAGATCTACTGTAGACAGCTCACCAGCAATTGCAACGCTCCTGCACCATCTGGTTTTGGTCTGACAACACAAGGGTTTACCCATATCTCAACAAGGAGAGAGGTACAGCAGGGATGCTTTAGCTAACAGATGTGAAAGCATTGCAACACTCTGAATTTGTGAATGAATTAGCAAAGTTTTGTTTAATCAGAGTGGGGCACCTTAAACAAGGCAACTACTAAGAAACCAGGAAATGGCAGAGTCGAATAAATACAGTAGAAGAGATTAATAGCATTCCAAAATTACTAAATATTCAGGGGGCAAAACGAGGAGAGGAAGTAAATACAATGACTTTTAGAGAAAAAGTGCTATGGAAACTAATGAGGGCTAAAGACCGATAAATCTGCTGGACACGATGGGATGCGTCAAGGATATTAAAGGAAGTAGTTAGACAGGGTGTGGATGCACTGGCAGCAATCTTCCAGGAACCCTGAAACTCTAGAAGAGAGGACTGAGAAACTGCCAATGTAACATCTTTGGTTAAAAATGGAAGGAGACAATAAACAGATAACCATTGGTCAGTTAGCTTAGCATCTGAACAGGAAGCCCCCGGGTTGCAAACAGTGTTGTTCTGGAGTCTTTTCGCAAGTTGATTTGTACGCAAGTCAGAACACAATGCAGAACAATGAAAAGCAGCTGAAATGCAACAATGAAAAGCAGTTCATTAGCACAGGAAATGTTTAAAGTTACAGCCGCTCAATGAGTTCTCATTCACAAGTAGGAGCATTCATATCCAGATATGCATAAATTGGGGACCTGTGGATTGGGAAAATCTTTGACTTTATGATAAAGGATGTAACAGCAGAGCATTTAGAAACACATAACATGATCAAGCACAGCCAAAGATGAGCTAAACAGGAGGGCATTTTCAGGGTCGCAACTGAAATGGAGTGCCACCGGGATCAGGGCTGGGGCCACAATTATTTACAATTTATATTTAATTGGACAACATATATTTAATTGGACAAAGGCTGCAGAAAGCTACAAAAAAAAGGGGGATTTGGGAGTCCTTGAACATAAATCATAGATGCTAGCATATACAATCAGCAGGTAATAGGGAAGGTAACTGGAATGTTGACCTTTATTTGA